GTTGAGAGTACTACCTTCACCATAGCTGTGGGGAGAGTGATGAGTTCATCAGACTAAAGAATCATATCGTTGCTTGCTATCCTCTCATTAAGTTCCTGACCCCACATACCACAAGCTCATCCCAGACATTCCACTTGGACCTTCCTTTTCTCACACTCAACTTGCAGTACACCAAACTTGCCATGCCCCGGTATTAGCTACGACCCCTCCCCCCAGCTCTATCCAGAATACTCCCATGATTCCAACTGCCCATTACCAATTATCAAACTATAAAAAAGGGTGTGTTGCTAGTCCGGCTAAAGTGAAAAGGGGAACTCTGTTCTAAGGGGAAAACACCAGATGGTTTGAGAGGCATTCCTGTTATCAGAAAAGTAAAGGAGGGTAAGGGGAGGAGGAAGGGAGGTGGCAGAGGGGAGGAGCGCTGAGCATGGTGGCACACACACCTGTAATCCCAGAACTTAGCAAGGGAAGAAAGGAAGATGGAGAGTTTGAGGCCAGCCTTGGCTACTGTGCTCACAAATGTTTGGAACTAAAAACGAGAGGGACAAAACATGAAGAATACTAGTAACTAAATATATATAGGGAGTCGGGGAGATGGCTTGGTGGGTAAGAACACTTACTGCAGAGTCTAATATGCAGGACTCCAGCTCAAATCCCCAGCACCCATGGTTGCACACACACCTGCAAATTATGCTGGTGGCTGTGGAGATTTAGAGACAGGCTCCCTGGGGCTTCTGGGGCTTTCTGGCCACCAGACTAGCTCTGGGCTCACTGAGACCCTATCTTAAACTCAATGGGGAAGGGAGCGTGACAGAGCAGGACACCTGATGGCCTCTTCTGATCTCCATGTGCATGCACAGACACAAAAGTGTGCATATGCTGCACACATCTAACACATAAACACACACAATAAAACAGTAAACGACAACATCGAAAACTGCAAGTGAACCTGCCCCTATTTAAAGCAGTAAGAAATATAACACTATACTTTGTTCTGTCAATGGACAGAACATTTGTAAGAAACTTTTCTCTGGGGCAACTCTGAGGTCCAAGTGCTAGCTCTGATTTGACCTGAGTGCCACAGCCTCCTATCCCAAATTATTTCCCATTAGTCACTCCTTAAGCAGCCCACGCTGCACCTAAAGTGTCACTAGTTCTTGCTGCTCTGTCCTGTCATCCTGGCCTTCCTCTTCCAACAATCCATCATCTGCCTGTTCCCCTTGCCACAGTTCTTTCTGGAAACCCCTGCCTCCTCCAGTCTCTCCCCTCCTGATCCACTCTTCTGGTGTCTTTGGCAGATGGACAGTTCTCAAGTCTTACCTACTGGCCTGCTAAAAAGTCTCCACAGAAGCTCCTACCTTAAGGAAGGACAAGAGTGAGTTCCAACTCGAGCAAGCCAAACCCTCTCCAATCTGGGCCACCAAGTCTGCATCAGCCTATTTGTTAGGGTATTTGACTCTAACCTGATCTCCACTGGGCTCTGCATAAGGGTCCTGTGTGCCCAGTGTTCCAACTCCCCACTCCCAGGGGATGCAGCAAGAGTCACCTGCCCGTACCATTGCCACATGGACTTCTACTATCCAGTCTTCCACCTTCTCCTGGCTGGAACTGCCCGACTCTACTACACTGCTTTCCCAAATTCAAATCCTACTCTCGCCAACCTATAGTCACTAGCCATATCTAGCTACTGTGCATGTGAAAATGTAGCTAGCAACGACGAGTCAAGTGCTCTGACTGTATAATACATACTGAATTTCAAATAATTCACATAGAATTAATTAACTAATTCACATAGTACTGTAAAACTCTTTGTTAATCCTTACTATTACCTGCTGATACATTAGGCTAAATAAAATACATTAAAATTAATCTCACATGCTTTTGTGTCATAAATGTGGTTATAGAAAAGTTTTAAATTTTATATGGTTGTGAGGAGGGGGTGATTTGTTTGGCTTACTCAGTTACTCTTCTAATGATGATTTAAACAGCATAAGAAGAACTGAAATCGGCTCCTTGTTCATCCCAATGATACATGAAAACCATCTAAAGCACAGTCCTACAAGCGCTGATTTAAAGCATACTGTCAGAACTCAGCAAACTGTCTGAAGGACAGACTACTTTTTATGACAAAAGAGTTAGGCCATTACCAGTATCTAATAAAGATGAAGGGTGGAGAAAATACCTCTTAAAATATGTGTCCTATTAATGGAAGGAGGAAAGTAATGAAGAAGAATCTGGTAAATGCCGGCCCCAAGCCGAAGCCATTACATAAGTACTCACACCCTATCATACCCATTTAACAGAGTAACAAAGTTGAGGTTCAAGGGCAGGCTAAGTACTAGCTCATGCTCTGCAGCTACAAGTGGCAGGGACAGGCTGCAAACCCAGGTCAGTAGCATTATCCTTACATGAAAAAATGCCAGTCCTATTTCACTTGAAGACACGAACATGAAAAGCAAGATTATAAGTGCATATGTAATATGCGATACTAATTAAACCCATTCCCTTCAGTTGCCTTCATATTGACTTAATTCCTATCAAGAACACTGTCTTTCCGAAAGGTAATAACTAAATAAGATATTTGATGCTGTGGGAAACTTTAATGTACTAGTTTTCTTTAAAGTCTTCTAATCACAGTTATAAAGCAAAAGTTTACACTACATATTATGGCTAGAATTCCTCAAATTTTATTTTTTTTGTAAATAGAGCCCCTATAATTAATGATCACTAATACATAAAGGAAACTCGGCCGTCATCAGCAACAAAAGTATTCCTAATGTAATATCAAAGAACTCTGTTACAAACAATAGTTTAAACACAGATTTTTATCTTTGAGTGATAATAGAGCTGTTATTTTTTTCACATATAAAGATGATCCAGGCTGCAGACAGAGCCTAAGAGCACCTGCTGTTCCTGTACAGAGTTTAGTTCCCAGTACTCATCTCGGGGCAATTCGCAATCACCCCCAGGCGATCGGTCTATTGGCCTCCATGGTTACTGGACTCACTAGCACAAACCCACCACACACACACAATTTAAACTGTATCATAAGGAGATACCATTGACCTGGTTCCCAGGCTATCCCTGCCACTTGCAGCTGAAATGAGGCACACGCCTTAGAGCAAAAATTAGGGACACTCAGACCCGAAGAGTATCCACTTTCTCAGAATCCTAACAAGGACAGCTTATCTCTAAGAGACTCATCTGATCTAGGTTTCTGACTTTATAAAATGTATCCAACTTAATCTTGGGCTTCTAAGTCAGAACAAAGGCTTAAATTCTTTAGCACAGAAAAGGTTCCAACATATCAAATGCCTTAAAATACTGTTCAATCCACTTTATCAAAAATGCCCCTGCAGCATAATCAGATACTAAGGACCCAACACAAAGCACTTGTGTGCCTGGGCATTTCACTACAGGAAGGAGAAAGTTCAACTTACCAAGAAAACCACATTTTGCTTTCAAGAGTCCAGAAACTAATCCCCCTAACAATAACTGGTTTACATTCATCATAAACTGAGCACATGAAGTGGGATCTCCAGGAAGCTGAGATAACAAGCAACTTCATTTGGCAAAAGCTGGTGGGCTTTCTTTTGAGGAGGAGGGATAGTTTTTTGTGGTGGTGGTGGTCATGGTTTTGAGTTTTACTTTCCGTTGGCATGTTGGTTGGCTGGTTTACTGGCCAGTCTCCCACCCAGAGATAATTTACATACTATAAACAGAAATAATTAGCAACTCTCAATCTCATTAACAAAATGCTTAAAATTCTCACCTGCAAAATGAATTCTTTAAGCCCTATTTTCTCAAGTGACAGTCACTCTAAAATTGGGTTTTAATTTTTTTTTTTTTTTTGGTTTTTCGAGACAGGGTTTCTTGGTGTAGCTTTGAAACCTGTCCTGAACTTGCTCTGTAGCTGACCTCGAACTCAGAGATCTGCCTGCCTCTGCCTCTTGAGTGCACCACCACCGCCCGACCTTAAATTTCTATTAATATTATTGTTTCAGTAGTAAATACACATGAAAGAAACATGTCTTTTCCTTGGCCCCAAAATACAGACAAGACTGTCCATAGGCAGGCAAAGATGTTTCTATTTTGAACAAAAGTTAAGACAAACAGAACTAGATCCACATAATACGTAGTCTAGCCAAGCGACACATGACCAGACTAAGCTTTCTAGTCTTTACAGGTCAATTCCAGGCCCACTTAGGCTCTGCAGAACTTCCACCCTGCAGGCCATAAAAAGAGAAGGCTGGCAGGGAGTAATGGCTGTCATTCTGGTTATAAGGGAGAAGCAGCCTCCCTGAACCCAAGAAAGTCTGGGTTCCTCTGAGCAGCGCCCCCTTCACACCAAGAACTTTATGAGCCTGGCTCTCCTCACCCCCAAAATTATTAAATTTCAAAGGGAGGAGGAGGCGGTAGTGGTGCATGCCTTTAATCCTAGCACTCAGGAAGAAGAGGCAGGTGGATCTCTGTGAGTTCCAGTCTGGTCTACAGAGTGAGTTCCAGGACAGCCAAGGCTCACACTCAAATCTAGTAACATTTTAAAAGGAGACTGGTGGCAGTTCAACTAAGTCGGTGATGGGATGGCTTGAGGTCTTGGTCCAACCCAAGCTGTCAAGAATTTAAATTTTTAAAACGAGAGAGGGAGATGCCAGAGGTGCGTGCTCTCGTCCGCTCCACTTGTGCCGGGTTTATTTCCTGGAGAGGACAGGGTATAGTCACCTCTGTGCCTGCCCTCGAGGTTACCCGAGGCTAGGCGCCCAAATGAGAATCTTGACTAAGTTTACACTTGGGGCAACAGGGCAGCGCCCAGGGCTAGCCTACCGCCTTCAGGAACAATGCCTCAAGTGTCCCCGATCTGGGCTAGCAAGGGTCCCGTGCAAACCATCCCCGGTCCCCTGCATCACTCGGACCTGAGAGCCCGCCAGGCCCACGCAACGGGTGGGACCCGATCCTCCGGCAGGTGCCCCTGATCACACAGCCCACGCCCCGCGCCTCACCCAGCAGCGCCCGCAGGTGCTTCAGGCGAGTCAGCACGTCCTTCTTGGGGTCCAGCACCTTCTGCGTGGACTTTTTCACATCTCCGTGGCTCCTTCGGGAGAACATCCCGCCGCGGGGAGCCCGGGCCCCGCCGGCGGGGCAGGAGGC